AGCATCCCATCCAAAAGTGATGAATGTTCTTCAACAGTGAAATCCTTGCAAGGTTACGTGATGGAATAAGGGTTTTTCTTTCACCATTTTTCAACCAAGCTTAATAGGCTTGCAATTTGGTAAGCATTAATGGCTATTTTACAATTTTAACCATAAGTGTTTATTAATGTGTCTAAGCATGTTTAATTGATGGTTAAAGTAATTGACCCATTGTCAAATGCACCATTAAATGATTTAAACAGTTGAAACTATATTTTTTTATATGAAATACTTTGTGAACCCGTTTGCGCTGATAAGCTCCCATGAATGTGGAACGAAAGCTTGACCTAGGCATCAGACTCCAGAGCCCTTTATAAAGCAGAGTTGTGTCAATGAGATGGTCGGTTTTCAGTTGGCTAGCGCAGGCTGAAATATGATGCATTGGGATGCATTCCTTGTTACACCCCTGTAATTACAGACAGCAATTACATGTTGTTATAGTGATAGTGTAACATTTACATTATTTAGCAGACGCTCTTATCCAGAGCGACTTACAAATTGGTGCATTCAACTTATGATAGCCAGTGGGACAACCACTTTTAAAAAATAATTTTAAAAATAATGGGGGGGTGGGGGGGGTAGAAGGATTACTTTATACTATTCCAGGTATTCCTTAAAGAGGTAGGGTTTCAAGTGTCTCCGGAAGGTGGTCTGTGACTCCGCTGTCCTGGTATCTTGGGGGAGCTTGTTCCACCATTGGGGTGCCAGAGCAGCGAATAGCTTTGACTGGGCTGAGCGGAAACTGTGCTTCCGTAGAGGTAGGGGGGCTTGCAGGCCAGAGGTGGATGAACGTAGTGCCCTCGTTTGGGTGTAGGGTCTGATCCTGAATGTAAGGATGTGCTGTTCCCCTCACAGCTCCGTAGGCAAGCACCATGGTCTTGTAGTAGATGCGAGCCTCAACTGGAAGCCAGTGGAGTGTGCGGAGGAGCGGGGTGACATGAGAGAACTTGGGAAGGTTGAACAACAGACGGGCTGCAGCGTTCTGGATAAGTTGTAGAGGTTTAATGGCACAGGCAGGGAGCCCAGCCAACAGCGAGTTGCAGTAATCCAGACGGGAGATGACAAGTGCCTGGATTAGGACCTGTGCCGCTTTCTGTGTAAGGTAGGGTCGTACTCTGTGAATGTTGTAGAGCATGAACCTGCAGGATCGGGTCACCGCTTTGATGTTACCGGAGAATGACAGGGTGTTGTCCAGGGTCACGCCAAGGTTCTTTGCACTCTGGGAGGAGGACACAATGGAGTTGTCAACCGTGATGGCAGGATCATGGAGCGGGCAGACAGTGTGACGTTTTCTTTAGTCAAAGTTTCTTTATTGCAGCAAATGATGATGGAAATGTTTTTTAGGGTACTCAGGGCATGTGATGTAATCGCATAACTATAAAGCTCCACTCCACAATTAATTCTAAATGCCTACCGCTTGCTAAATCAATTTATTAAACTATAAAAATAATGTTTCTTTGCAAGACACGGATTGTCTAGACTTTCGAGAATGCCTGAATTGCTTCACAAGCAATTTGAAGTTTTACCATCAAATTGTTTCACATCTCTAGGCCTATGTGAGTGCAAGTTACACCATGGCACAAACTGTGGCTATAAGTAGCCTAGGCTCATGATAATTATTAGAATATGGCAAATATTAGTAAATTATTGCATTCTATCCATGCTGGCTTTTGTGGGCTACCTGAGACATGAAACAGATAGGCGTTCAGGGCATACAGGCGGTCGCCACTTTCATGCGCAATTTGCCTAAATGGCTCATGGAAACACTTCAACCACTTCATTTCTATTCCACATTATAGGTTTTCAAAAAATTCAAAATAATCGCCCATATTTCTTTCTCCAGGTGTGACGTCATTACACTGTGGCAGGCAATTGATGCATCTACCTTCTACGCAAACTTTCTAAATGTCGACAAAAATCACAGCACAAGTTTATGGGATCCTAGCTAGTGTCAGACGAGAAATGCTCTTTGAAATGGGGATGAACAGTTAAACAAGCAAAAAAGTCGATTCTGGCAGTGTGAACAATGCAAAAGCGTTTAGCAAAACCTTCCCAAAAAATATAAAGGCACTTCTGTAGAAAAGTGAATATACCTTTGTTGCAACTTGGCTAATGCATGGCAAGGATTTAAAAAAATTGGTTACTATTAGCAACAAATATTTCCATTCCTCTTTCATATACTGTATAGAACCCATTTGGAGACTTTTGCAATGCTTCCACGTTTATTTATTTAGAGTGTTTTTATTAAAGAGTAAATAGTCAATTACATTATGAAATAACATAATAACTGAAGCAAGATCTGGTCAAATGGAAAAGGTTTCACAACGAAAACAAGTTCAAGTTAGTCCCTCCCAGTTTTGGACTGTTTGCTTCAATTTGGTTCCTAGTTAATACAGCCCTGATAATCCATCTTTTGAGTTAAATTACAAAGATTAGTATACATTTAAAAAAGGAGCTGTTCTTTAAAAAAAATTGCTATGTCTGATATTATCCACCATGACCAACCAACTGTCTAAAGGGAAGATACATTGTGGGAAATTTTGACTAAGTGAAGCTTGACTTTATCATAATCTCATCTTTAAGACAAAGTTATTGAATGATTTTATAAAGTAGTATAATGTTTAAGGATAAATTGCTTATGAAACCATAGAGTTTAGGGAAAATATGAGGAATGAAGTACAAGAGAAATGTGTGAACTCAGAGGAAAATGAAAAACTATTTAATGAAAAACAAATACATAATTTTTCACCTGTAAATTCAACCTGAACTTCAACCTGGGCAGCAGGTAGTCTAGCGGTTAGAGCATTAGGCCAATAACTGAAAGGTTGCTAGTTTGAATCCCAGAACCAACAAAAATTATACACATTTCAAAAAAGTGTATAATACACAATTGTACTGTGGCTTGCGAAAGTATTCACCCCCTTTGGCATTTTCCCTATTTTATTGCCTTACAACCTGGAATTAAAATTGATTTTTGGGGGGTTGGTATCATTTGATATACACAACATGCCTACCACTTTGAAGGTGCAAAATAAAACAATTTGTGAAACAAACAAGAAATAAGACAAAAAAACAGAAAACTTGAGTGTGCATAACTATTCACCCCCCCAAAGTCAATACTTTGTTGAGCCACCTTTTGCAGCAATTACAGCTGCAAGTCTCTTAGGGTATGTCTCTATAAGCTTGGCACATCTAGCCACTGGGATTTTTGCCCATTCTTCAAGGCAAAACTGCTCCAGCTCTTTCAAGTTGGATGGGTTCCGCTGGTGTACAGCAATCTTTAAGTCATACCACAGATTCTCAATTGGACATTTAAATGTTTCCCCTTAAACCACTTGAGTGTTGCTCTAGCAGTATGCTTAGGGTCATTGTCCTGCTGGAAGGTGAACCTCCGTCCCAGTCTCAAATCTCTGGAAGACTGAAACAGGTTTCCCTCAAGAATTTCCCTGTATTTAGCAACATCCATCATTCCTTCAATTCTGACCAGTTTCCCAGTCCCTGCTGATGAAAAACATCCCACAGCATGATGGGGATGGTGTTCTCGGGGTGATGAGAGGTGTTGGGTTTGCGCCAGACATAACGTTTTCCTTGATGGCCAAAAAGCTCAATTTTAGTCTCATCTGACCAGAGTACCTTCTTCCATATGTTTGGGGAGTCTCCCACATGCCTTTTGGCGAACACCAAATGTGTTTGCTTATTTCTTTCTTTAAGCAATGGCTTTTTTCTGGCCACTCTTCCGTAAAGCTCCGCTCTGTGGAGTGTACGGCTTAAAGTGGTCCTATGGACAGATACTCCAATCTCTGCTGTGGAGCTTTGCAGCTCCTTCAGGGTTATCTTTGGTCACTTTGTTGCCTCTCTGATTAATGCCCTCCTTGCCTGGTCCGTGAGTTTTGGTGGGCGGCCCTCTCTTGGCAGGTTTGTTGTGGTGCCATATTCTTTCCATTTTCTAATAATGGATTTAATGGTGCTCTGTGGGATGTTCAAAGTTTCTGATATTTTTTTATAACCCAACCCTGATCTGTACTTCTCCACAACTTTGTCCCTGACCTGTTTGGGGAGCTCCTTGGTCTTCATGGTGCTGCTTGCTTGGTGGTGCCCCTTGCTTAGTGGTGTTGCAGACTCTGGGGCCTTTCAGAACAGGTGTATATACAGTGGGGAGAACAAGTATTTGATAGGTCTGTATGGAGGAGTGGGCCAAAATCCCTGCTGCAGTGTGTGCAAACCTGGTCAAGACCTACAGGAAACGTATGATCTCTGTAATTGCAAACAAAGGTTTCTGTACCAAATATTAAGTTCTGCTTTTCTGATGTATCAAATACTTATGTCATGCAATAAAATGCAAATTAATTACTTAAAAATCATGCAATGTGATTTTCTGGATTTTTGTTTTAGATTCCGTCTCTCACAGTTGAAGTGTACCTATGATAAAAATTACAGACCTCTACATGCTTTGTAAGTAGGAGAACCTGCAAAATCGGCAGTGTATGAAATACTTGTTCTCCCCACTGTATACTGAGATCATGTGACAGATCATGTGACACATAGATTGCACACAGGTGGACTTTATTTAACTAATTATGTGACTTCTGAAGGTAATTGGTTGCACCAGATCTTATTTAGGGGCTTCATAGCAAAGGGAGTGAATACATATGCATGCACCACTTTTCCGTTATTTTTTTTGTTGATTTTAAAAAAAACAAGTAATTGTTTTCATTTCACTTCACCAATTTGGACTATTTTGTGTGTGTCCATTACATGAAATCCATATAAAAATCCATTTAAATTACAGGTTGTAATGCAACAAAATAGGAAAAACGCCAAGGGGGATGAATACTTTTGCAAGGCACTGTATGTGTGAAACAGGAGAAATATAAGCCCTCACCAAATTATTATTTTGTATGAACTATTTAGTATCTGGCTGGGAGAGTCTATTAGTAACGTACGTTGAGCCCAGACTCATCTCAGATGCGGCTGACAGCACACAGCTGGTGAGGGGAAGGATTGAGGGTGAACCCCACGGATGGTGTGAGGTCCAGATCATCCTCTGTTACTCCAGGAGGAGGAGAGAAACTAAAGTGCTGCAGGAGGGAGGTGAAGAAGAGGAAGAGCTCCATCCTGGCCAGACCCTCCCCCAGACACACCCTACGACCTGCGAGAGAGACCAAAGATATAGAAAATAGCATGAAGTCTGTCCAAAACGCTACCACAATTTCTCTACTTCTTGCAATGAAATAATTTGCTAAATGATTTACATTTTAGTCATTTAGCAGACACTCTTATCCAGTGTGACTTACAGTTAGTGAGTGCATACATTTTCATACAAATGATGAAGTTCATATACCTGCAGAGAAGGCCATGAAGGCGTCCTTCCTGACAAATCCTCCCTGCTCATCCAGAAAGTGGGCGGGGTTAAACGTTTGGGGGCTCTCCCATTCGCTATCGTCCTGTAGGACAGAGGTCAGTAGAGGAATCACAGATGTCCCCTGCAGTGAGAGTGAAGCGTAGGACACTGTTATATTCAGAGTAAAAGTGATTAAACTTGTTTCATAAATGAAGTGCACACTCCGAACGAGTGGATTACAATAATTTCAGCCTTATTTAATTTATTTTATTAGACAGCCATGTACAGTATCTGACCTTCTTGATGAAATATCCCTGGAAGGTAACGTCTCGGCTGGTGGTGTGAGGGATGGCCATGGGTGCAATATTGGCCAGTCTCTGGATCTCATGGATCACTGCATCAGTGTAGGGCAGGTTCTTCCTGTCCTTTACCAAGGGCTGACGACTTCCTATGACCCTGTTGATCTCATCCTGGACCCGGTCTGAGAAAGAAAGGAGGGAGGGTTTGGAGTTACTGCAGTGAAACTTATAAACCTGGGTTAATGTTTGACCTTTATTAACCCAGCCATCCAAATCTAGTTTCATAACCTCTGCTTCAAGTTGTCCCTTTGCCAATGTTTACAACTTGTAACACCATGAGTGCCTCAGTGTTTTGTCTCAGTGAATGTGTGCGTTTGTGTTTATATAAATCCTTACCCTGTATGTGAGGGTACTTGGCCATTAGCAGCAGACCCCAGCGCAGGGTTGTCCCGGTGGTGTCGGTACCAGCACCAAACAGGTTTGTAACACTAATTACCAGGTTGTTGTCATGGTAGAGAGAATCCATATTGCCAGATTCCTAACAGAAACAGACCCTCAGATGACATATTATTATGCACAACAGTTGCTTAAGGAGCTGTTGTACGTTATTCACAGATAATCAACACATTCTATTAAAGCAGCTTGAGGAACTGTGTGAGTTTACATGTGATTCTGATGATAAGGAGAAAACTCTAGTTCTATCCCCCCTCATCTGGCATTCAGTCATATGCATACATGTTAGTGCTGGACAATTCAAGTTAGTTGTGTTCTGCTGCAGTATCCAAGTGCACCACAGGGTGTCATAGAAATGTATAATATTCTGTATAGTTCTACTGAGAAATATCGATGCAACACTTAGTTATGTATGAGTGAGATGCAGATTCTGCATTAACTCTTCATACCTCCAGGGTCTGCTTTCGGACAAGGAACGAGTCCACAAAGCCTCTACACATCTGAGGGTTCAGAGTCTCCTTCAGGCCCCTCACCAGCTTTCCCACCTCCATCTTCATATCGACAACAATTTCCTTCAGACTCGTCAGGTTCTTTATCCATGGACCCAACCAGGGAAACATGTTATACATCTATACAGAGATACAGGTAGAATAGGCATAACATTATATTTTAATATCTGCTTGAATAAATTACTTATAACAGTATTACATAACATATTATACACACCAGATAACTATAATTATATTATTAAATATATACATATAAATTAAATTACATATACATTTTATAAATAAACTACATTAAATACATACACTACCAGTCAAAAGTTTGGACACATTCTCATTCAAGGGTTTTTCTTAATTTTTTTACATTGTAGAATAATAGTGAAGACATCAAAACTATAAAATAACACATATGGAATCATGTAGTAACCAATAAAGTGTTAAACATATCAAAATATATTTTATATTTGAGATTCTTCAAATAGCCACCCTTTGCCTTGATGACAGCTTTGCACACTCTTGGCATTCTCCCAAACAGCTTCATGAGGTAGTCACCTGGAATGCATTACAATTAACAGGTGTGCCTTGTTAAAAGTTAATTTGTGGAATTTCCTTCCTTCTTAATGCGTTTCAGCCAATCAGTTGTGTTGTGACAAGGTAGGGGGGGTCTACAGAAGATAGCCCTATTTGGTAAAAGACCAAGTCCATATTATGGCAAGAACAGCTAAAATAAGCAAAGAGAAACGACAGTCCATCATTGCTTTAAGACATGAAGGTCAGACAATACGGAACATTTAAATAACTTTCAAAGTTTCTTCCAGTGCAGTCACAAAAACCATCAAGCGCTATGATGAAACTGGCTCTCATGAGGACCGCCACAGGAATGGAAGACCCAGAGTTACCTCTGCTGCAGAGGATAAGTTCATTAGAGTTACCAGACTCAGAAATTGCAGCCCAAAGAAATGCTTCACAGAGTTCAAGTCACAGACTCAACATCAACTGTTCAGAGGGGACTGTGTGAATCAGGCCTTCATGGTCGAATTGCTGCAAAGAAACCACTACTAAAGGACACCAATAAGAAGAAGAGACCTGCTTGGGCCAAGAAACACAAGCAATGGACATTAGACCGGTGGAAATGTGTCCTTTGGTCTGGAGTCCATATTGGAGATTTGTGGTTCCAACCGCCGTGTCTTTGTGAGACGCGGTGTGGGTGAACGGATGATCTCCGCATGTGTAGTTCCCACCGTAAAGCATGGAGGAGGAGGTGTTATGGTGTGGGGGTGTTTTGCTGGTGACACTGTCTGTGATTTATTTAGAATTCAAGGCACACTTAACCAGCATGGCTACCACAGCATTCTGCAACGATATGCCATCCCATCTGGTTTGGGCTTTGTGGGACTATCATTTGTTTTAGGATGATGCCGCCAACACAATACTTAAAAATAGAGAGGGTTTCACTCTGTGTTGTATGCATTGGATTTGACCCAACCCTGTAGTTTTTAATTTAGGCCAAAAAGTTAATTGATTTGACGTGTTGTCTTGCAGTGTTATTTAAAAGCCTTGTTGCAAACAGAATGGATGATTTGGAGTGGATTTTCTTAACACAGGCTTCTTTCTTTTCACAGGCCAGTAATATGGAATGAATGCAATGTTGTTATCCCTTTGTGTTTTAAAGTATTGTGGTGGCAGCATCATGTTATGTGTCTGGAGAGTTTGTTAGGATCAAAGGAAATACCTCCAGTCTTCTGAAAACCTAACCCTGGGATAAGGTTCTATTTTTCTGAGGGACAATTACACACATTTTTATGTAAATGACACACCAAAATGGCTTTCCAAGAGATGTCGAGTGTTCCTGAGTGGTGTAGCCTGTCCTGACTTAAATCTGCTTTAAAAAAATCAGAGACAAAGTTTAAATATCGCTGTCCATCAATGATCCCCAACCAAATGTACTGATATTGAGCAATTTTGACAGAAATGATGGCTATATGTTGCCCAAAGAGTCTTGCAAAGTTGATAGAATCTTAATGAAAACGATTCACAGCTGTAATGGCTGCCACCAAGTATTCCCTCAGGGGAGTGGAGACTTATCCAATTATGATATTTCAGTTTAAAAACACTGAAACAGACATGATTTATTGAGAAAAGGGAGTCAAAACAGAGTGGCCTGAATAAGCAGACTGTACCTGAATTGATGCGGTGCCTAGAAGGCGTATGCTCTTATTGGCCCTATCTGCCATGCCTGTGAATAGGGGGTCAGTGTATTCAAACCTGCTGCCATAGACAATGGCCGAGATTATGTTGGAGACAGCATAAATCACAGGCTGGGTGGTGTCAAATGCCTGACCTGTGATAGACAAAACATTGAAATCAATTGCAAAACAAGCTTTCCAGAACCCACACGATCACTAAACAAGCCAATTAGCTATTTAGTAATACTATGATTTAAATAGCCAGATTTTTTACCTATAAATCACCTAGAAATACATCATGCTACTTCTACTACTACAGTGTAGAGATACCTATATTGCTCTTACCGTCGTGTTTTTCAAACACTTCAATCAGATAAGGGATTTCCTCTAAGATTTTGTCTTCACTCCCTTTGTTGCCCATCCCAAAGTCTCTAAGGTTCGTCAGGGCAAAGCGCCTCATCTCTTTCCATGAGTCTCCATTGGCAAACAGAATCCCTGTAAAGAAGGTAGTTCGTTTCCATGACAATTCAAAGTGTAATAATAATAATAATAATAATAATAATAATAATATATACAGTAATAAAATATATGCCATTTACTATAATGTACCAAGAAAATTCATAATTTTCCAAATGATCCCTGCAACCTTTCTGGTAACCAGTTAAGTCATCATAGACATGTATATTATTTGCAGAGGATTAGAATAAGACCATTTGTTGGAATTGTGGAACCAGGCAGATCGCTGCGTTCACCATTCTATTTCACCTCAAGTATCTTTCTGGCATTCCTCCTCATTGAAACTGTTTGAGCCTACAGTCAAATGTGACAAATCTGTGGTATTATTCAAAACTAACTTGTTAGCAATTGGATCACTTTCAACCAATCAGAGGACGGCCTGATTGGACCAGACATTTTCTGGCTTATTCCAAACACCCTATTGGTCCAAACTGATACATTAGTAAACAAAATGGTGAACGGAGCAATCAGGCTAGAAAAATACTTTCAATAGCTTGTAATGCATTTCATATCCAAATCCTCTCAAATTGTCAGAAATATATTGTGTAGCTCAATATAGTTGCTTTAAAGTAACTGTCCAGTGAAAATCTCACTTTAATGTTTTAGTTTTTTTTGTGGTACTTTTACCCCTTTTTATGATATCCAATTGGTAGTTACCGTCTTGTCCCATCGGTGCAACTCCCGTACGGGCTCAGGAGAGGCGAAGGTCGAGAGCCATGCGTCCTCCGAAACACGACCCTGCTTTTTGACACACTGTACACTTAACCCGGAAGCCAGCCGCACCAATGTGTCGGAGGAAACAACTGGCGACCGGAGTCAGCATGCATGCGCCCGGCCCGCCACAGGAGTCGCTAGAGCGCGATGGGACAAGGAAATCCCGGCCGGCCAAACCCTCCCTAACCCGGACGATGCTGGGCCAATTGTGCGCCGCCTCATGGCTCTCCTGGATACGGCCGGCTGTGACACAGCCCAGGATTGAACCCGGGTCTGTAGTGACGCCTCAAGCACTGCAATGCAGTGCCTTAGACCGCTGCGCCACTCGGGAGGCCGAAAATCTCACTTTTAAAAGTTCATAATTTGTTAACTCATACCCACAATATTGTTGAGATCTTACAGTATACTCGTATTTTTCGCCAAAGTATAAATTGGACAACAAACACGTCAAATACCCCCTTTCAAACAGACCGTTTAAAAATGCTTGCTATTTCCTCATAGAGGATGATGTCATCCTCCTGAGGAGAAAGAACTGGCCAATCAGTGGTCTACTCACATGAATATTTTTTATGACCGGTACATGCTCACACCATTCTCTTGTTGGGGCATTCCAACACAGAAAATCTGCTTTTTAACATGATTTACCATTTTTTGGGAAGTAAAACTATTTCACTCATATTGTAATTAATTATAGGTCATATTTCATAGAAATCTGGAAACACTGGACAATTACTTTAAGATGATTTGGACATGAAAGGCAAAACATGATAATATGGATGACATTGATTTGTATTGGATTTTGGACAAGTTAGTATTTGGAGACAGTGGCCAGGTAAACAAAACCAAAGCATGGATTGTTGTCTTAGATTGTTCATAGACTGCTTACATGGTAAGGAAACCAATTAGACATGTTGTAATTTGAGTGAACTATCCCTTTAAGAATAAGAGTAAAATATCATTACCATGTCCTTGGTTGAAATCATAGAAAACAGGAGTGATGTCCCTGTCCCCAAAGTCCTCTGCCTGGTTGACCAGTGCCTGCTTGACCGTCTTGTATCCAGCCAGAACAACCACTTTCTTGGGTCCAAAGTGAACCGTGAAGATGGAGCCATATTTCTTGGAAAGCTGGACAGATAAAGCATACATAAAGTATACCATAGACTCAGTTATGTCTCGTAATGATATATGAATAAGCACAAAACTGGACATCACATACAGCTTGTTAAACATGTTTCAGTCAAGAAACAGCCTGAAGACAGTGGTTTACAGTTACAGTTGAGGGCAGACCTGTGTTCAAATACTATTCACTTACATAAACATTTCAAAATAAGTATTTAGACAAAGTTTCTTATTGGAAATACATTTGGAAAGTATTGGGATGTATGTACAACTACTTTATTTTATTTATTTATTTATGTTTCTATTTGAAGTAGTTGTTTTCAGCTGTGTATTAGAAAACACTCACACAAAAAACACAGAAAAGAGTCAAAAACAAATACTTAAAATACTCTATGTATTTAAACCCAGGATTGTTTTGTTAACAAGAACCCAGGACATACAGTATACACTACAAAATAGAACATTAAACAAATGTATGTAGTTCTGTCCTTGATCTGTTCTTATCTATTACTGTTCTGTATTGCGGCTTTTGCAACAGCTAATGGGGATCCTAATAAAATCCCAAATACCAAACATTTGCCAGCTAAAAGCATGTACAATGTGCCGGACTGAGTTCATTATATCAGTTTGCTTACTGAACTTTTCAAACCTGGTGAAATAGCAAGAAAACGATATAAATCAGATAAAACAATCTTACAGATTATGTCAACAACCTCAACATGATTTTCTCTGAAAGCAAAGCAGCACTTCATCTTACCTCGCAGAGAGTGAGGTAGGGCCTCTTGAGATCCAGCTGGAGCATGTTGCCAAGCAGGGGCAGCGGCCTGGGTCCTGGAGGCTCTTTCCCCTGTTCCTCAGAGCTGGAACCAGAAGAACGGAGGTAGAGGACAAGGAGAAACAGCACAGCCCCCAGCAATGTCACCGTGCTTGATGTCTGGAGAAGACCTTCTATAAGAGACATCTTCAAACTGAGCTGTTAAACCTTACACTGGGCTAAAAAGACACGACACACTATGCTCATTTATGTAACAAGTGTTTGTGCTCAGAGAATTTCCACGACATCATTACGCCGATTCTGTTGCAAAATGTTTCGTCAGTTGCAAAAATAAATGTTTTGCAACGAAAACGAAAGTGTATATTGGACAAATTCAGCTAGGTCCCTCCCCGTTTCTTTCCGTTTGCTCTGTTTGCTTCTGTTTTGTTCTTAAACGGTAAACGTTTCTGTTGCAAGACGTAATGAGTACATCCCAGATGCCCAAGGAATGCGTAACCTCCCCAGCCCCGCCCTATTGGGGAGGGTACAACCTCAGAGGAGGAGCTAAACAATGCATCTCCAGTAGGTCTTTCTGCATATCATTGTGCAACTCAGATGGTTTTTTTTTATGGGGGCCAATGCGATTGTCGAATTTTGTCAAGATAAAAATGTTTTGCTATTTGATAAGATAGGCTTATTTGATCAGAATCAGAATCACCTTTATTCAGCAAGTACATTTGCACATACTCAGAATTTTACTTGGTGATATTAGTGATGATAGATAACATTTAGAGACAGACTACAGACAGAGGAGTTTAAACAAAGTTGACATACATTATATATAACTAGGTAGAGTGAGAATAGAGTTATAAAAGGATGAGCAGTGGATATACAAATATACAGTGGGCATACAGTTTATATACAGTTGATCAAGTAGAAGTTTGGCAATGCTTGGGTTGCTATGAGTTTACTGATACAAGTGTGATACACGTGACATACCTGCAACTTTGAGAGAAAAACACATTATATCAGAGTTGTCCCTGTTGAAATTCGAGACATCTATGCATATTCATGAGGCTAGCGTCTCAATCATTTGAATACAGGCGGTTGACGTCAACACCCCTCATTGAATATTCAGAAAAGTATTCAAATAACGAGATGTATCCACCGATCCAAACAGAGGAATAGGGGAAAGAGCCTCCAGGACCCAGGCCGCTGCCCCTGCTTGGTAACATACTCCAGCTGTGGACAACGAATCCCATTGTTAGGGCGGAGACACAAGCATCTCCTCATTATATCCAGTATCTCTGTTTGCAGACCGACTAGGTAAGGCGCCTGCACAGTTGGCCCTCCCTTGCATGCTGCCTGCCTCACCTGGGACAACTAGACATCCCTGTTTTTCTACAGTCAAAAGACTACAATTGCCCCAAGACTGTTGACAATTAAAGGAAGTTTGAGCTGAATTTCTTTAGTCCAACAATGAACATCCTATTTGGGTGTACAGTCAGTCACTCGTTTTTATTTTATTTTTTTAATCCCCATTGCGTGATTGCACTTCTTGCCCATTACTCAAACATGTAGACGTACAATATATTAATATGTCAACTTAATTGTGATATTATTGATTCCAAATTATAATAATAATAATAATAATCCTTCCAGAATTTTGCTGGGATTTTTATTATTTTTTGCCGGGAAGAATGCTTGATTTTGTTGCTGGAATTCTGACATTTTGCATAATATGCAGGGTATTGTTGATTTTGCTAAAATAATTTACATTCGCAGAATAACGGAATCCTGGAGGGACTGCATAGACTGTGGGATGTTATACTCTGAGAGTATACCTGAAATCACGGTTCATCCACAACCGCTTGATACCATGAGCAAGTATGAACATGACTGCAAAAACAGGTTACAGATACAGCCATAAACAAACTTGCATATGTACAAATATGATAAAACTCAGAAATACGTTGATGCTCTGCCTCATGGCCCATCTGTCCCCTGACATCCATGGAATGTCTATGTTAGTTTTGTTATAGACTAGAGGGCTGGGAGCGTATATTTCCCTCATAGCCTAGCAGTGAGACATTTTATTAAAGGCAGATGTCAGAGGTGATGTGGCTGTAGGGCAGGGCAAACCCATGTGTCTTCAAATAAAAATCCTATATAGGTAGTCATAACTTAATATATACACAGTCATACTTTTTTTTCACAACCACAATCTCACAAATACTTATCTGATTAGCTGTGTAAAGAAAGCATTTATCTCATTCACCTATAGATTTGCGCGTACACCTTTAGGTTCCTAACCTAAATAATCTATAGTCACTCAATAGCCAGAGATGTGGATCTGATTACAAATTAAATCCAGGGCAAGCGTTATGGGCGGGCCTTAGGGGGCCTGGCCCATCGCACCGTACCTCCTTGCCCGTTCAAATAAAATATAGATCATTTATTTTACTGAGACGCTCGCCAACAAAAAGACGCATTGATCTCAGTTAAAGCATCCGAGCGAGCGAAATAGCGCCCCTCTTGTCGCAGTATGTGTAGACAATGTACCTGATACTGTCTGGACCAAAAGAGTATGGCATGTGCGTCTCTCTCTAGAATGCATGCATATGTAGGAAAGTGCCCATTTAGCAATGTCTTATTTCTGATTGTCTTAACTCACCAACATACACCACTCATTTTTCTTCGCCTCACACAAGTCAACTAATTCTGTTTTTTTACATCCATTGCGAATGATAGTTTCTCAGTATTTGAAAAATATTTCCAACACTCCCGGCCTCGATAATCATCAAGCCTTGGTTCTACATGTTATTCCATGGGGGCAGAGAGAAAACGTTGCAATTTTAAAGCTAATTCCCTCAAATGCTACACATTTTGCCATGGGAGAGCCTTGCGTGCCCGGTCAGTAATTCGGCCATGATACTTACCTAGCAATCTATAAAATGTTAGCAGACATGGGCTAATTGAGTGCCTGTCAGTGACTGACATAACAATACACGTTGTGTATTCTACAAAAAAGTGTATTCTGCTTGGTAGTACATTAACAAGGTGGCTCAGTTGGTAGAGCATGGCGCTTGCAACGCCAGAGTTGTGGGTTTCTTTCCCACAGGGGACCAGTATGAAAAAGTTTAAAAGAATGTATGCACACTACTGTATTTCGCTCTGGATAAGAGCGTCTGCTAAATGATGTAAAAACAACTTAAATGCTACAATTATACAACAGATTTTCACAATGTAAAAATGTATTAAACAGAATAGATTTGTTTTTTGTTATCACATCAGCAACAACAAAATATTTCAGAAAAGTGTATATGCTTGTTCTCAGTATAGAATAACTTCAATACAGATTGTATTACAACTTTCGTGTTTTGTCTGAATGATTGTTCAGTAGTAAATAGGAAATTCAGCAGTCTGGTAAAGGCCCTGAAAAAAACATAAACTAGATAGTTTTATTATGTTTGTGCGAACATTGAAATTTACTAGTGATGGGGACAGATATGGAAAATCTGTAGCTTGGTGTGTTTGGACCATGATAGTTCGTTGGTGATGTGGACACCAAGGAACTTGAAGCTCTCAACCTGTTCCACTACAGCCCCGTCGATGAGAATGGGGGTGTGCTCAGTCCTCTTTTTTTTCCTGTAGTCCACAATCATCTCCTTTGTCTTGGTCACGTTGAGGGAGAGGTTGTTATCCTGGCACCATACGGCCAGGTCTCTGACCTCTTCCCTATAGGCTGTCTCATCGTTGTCGGTGATCAGGCCTACCACTGTTGTGTCGTTGACAAACTTAATGATGGTGTTGGAGTCGTGCCTGGCCATGCAGTGATGGGTGAACAGGGAGTACAGGAGGGGACTGAGCACGCACCTCTGATGGGCCCCCGTGTTGAGGATCAGTGTGCCAGATGTGTTGTTACCTACCCTTACTACCTGGGGGCGGCCCGTCAGGAAGTCCAGGATCCAGTTGCAGAGGGAGGTGTTTAGTCCCAGGATCCTTAGCTTAGTGATGAGCTTTGAGGGCACTATGGTGTTGAATGCTGAGCTGTAGTCAATGAATAGCATTCTCACGTAGGTGTTCCTCTTGTCCAGGTGGGAAAGGGCAGTGTGGAGTGCAATAGAGATTGCATCATCTGTGGATCTGTTGGGGTGGTATGCAAATTGGAGTGGGTCTAGGGTTTCTGGGATAATGGTGTTGATGTGAGCCATGACCAGCCTTTCAAAGCACTTCATGGCTACAGTCGTCAGTGCTATGGGTCGGTAGTCATTTAGGCATGTTATCTTAGTGTCCTTGGGCACGGGGACTATGGTTGTCTGCTTGAAACATGTTGGTATTACAGACTTAGTCAGGGACATGTTGAAAATGTCAGTGAAGACACTTGCCAGTTGGTCAGCACATGCTCAGAGTACACGTCCTGGTAATCCGTCTGGCCCTGCGGCCTTGTGAATGTTGACCTGCTTAAATGTCTTACTCACATCGGCTACGGAGAGCGTGATCACATAGTCATCCGGAACAGCTGGTGCTCTCATGCATGCTTCAGTGTTGCTTGCCTCGAAGCGAGCATAGAAGTGGTTTAGCTCGTCTGGAAGTCTTGTGTCACTGGCAGCTCGCGGCTGTGCTTCCCTTTGTAGTCTGTAATAGTTTTCAAGCCCTGCCACATCTGACGAGCGTCAGAGCCGGTGTAGTACGATTCAATCTTAGTCCTGTATTGACTCTTAGCCTGTTTGATGGTTCGTCGGAGGGCATAGCGGGATTTCTTATAAGCGTCCGGGTTAGAGTCCCGATCCTTGAAAGCGGCAGCTCTACCCTTTAGCTCAGTGCGGATGTTTCCTGTAATCCATGGCTTCTGGTTGGGGTATGTACGTACGGTCACTGTGGGGACGACATCATCGATGCACTTATTGATGAAGCCAGTGACTGATGTGGTGTACTCCTCAATGCTATCTGAAGAATCCCGGAACATGTTCCAGTCTGTGCTAGCAAAACAGTCCTGTAGCTTAGCATCTGCGTCATCTGACCACTTTTTTATTAACCGAGTCACTGGTGCTTCCTGCTTTAGTTTTTGCTTTTAAGCAGGAATCAGGAGGATAGAGTTATGGTCAGATTTGCGAATTGGAGGGCGAGGGAGAGCTTTGTATGCGTCTCTCTGTGTGGAGTAAAGGTGGTCTAGAGTTTTTTTTCCTCTGGTTGCACATTTAACA